GAAGGTTCATTCATAAATCCATGCTTATAAATTCCATCAAGTGTATTTAAATAAGTATAATATGTTGAATTAAATGTTTGAAGTTGAGTAAAATTATTTTTTGCATTTTCATACTCAATTTGAAGAGAGGATTGTGTTGCCATTTTGATAATTTGAAAAATTACACAAATAAAAATTTAATCGGTCTTTATATAAAACTGATTAAATATAATTACAAAATTTATTGCTATTATCTGAAGAAGAATCATCCATTTTTAAACCTTCATCGCTAAATGATAAATTATTAAAATCTATAATACCATTTTGTTTAGTTATATATTTAAATTCTAACTTATCATGAACAAAATCATTATTTTCTTGTAATAAAAATGAACCTGATGATTTTTTTAAAGAATCATCATTAAAATCTTGTTTATCCATTAAATAATTTTTACATTTAGAACAATAATTTTTTGCTCTAAAATTATAACATTTTTCACAATAATATTTATAATTTTTTTTTCTTATATATTTACATTTATATGAATATGATAATTGTAGTTTAATATTTTTTTTAATTCAAAGACTTTTACGAATTAATATTGATTGTCGTTCATAAGTATAATATTCTGTATAAAAATTATATTGATTTAGTATTGAACCTCCAGATTTGGATAATACTGATAAATTGTTTTTTAATATTTTTGTCATTTTACACAAATAAATTTCTATTCGGTTATAAAACTGAATAGATAAAATAAAATAATTATAATATAATAATAACCATATATATTCAATAAATATAATTTAATTTAAAGAAAATTTAGGATTTTATAAAAAAATTTTGTTATTAATTTAGCTTGTTCTTTTCAATTTCATCTTCACTTTCACTTTTTTCAGTATCACACTCAAACTCTTCTTCAAGATCTTGAATTGCCTTTTCTATTTGTTGAACCTTCATAACAGAACCTTGTTTAGGACCATTTAAAACTTTATCTCTAAATGTTTTAGATTTAATATAATAAGGATGGTTTCTATGTTTTGGTAATCTTTTTTCAAGTTCTTTAAATTCATTTACAACATGATTAGAATAATCTAACAATAAATTTAAAAATTCTAAACGTTTATCCTTATCAGGGAAGGCATTTTCAAGTGCTTGTGCTTCAATTTCTCTTGATAATTTCCAATTTTTTAATTCAACAAAGTAATCAATTTC